TCTCTACACTCTACAGATGCGCTGTCACCTCTGAGTACTACTAAGGAATACCTCACAGCGTGTAATTGTACTTGCTGTCTATACCCTTCAGACGTCGAACAACACAGAAGAACACTGCAGTGCAAGCGCTGCCACCTGCCGACAGAAATAGGTAAGAGAGAGGTACCTAGTCATTACTCTTAATTTATAATAATGATTTCGTTTAACGAATAAGTAATGTGGCGAGTAAATTGGTAGTCAGAACGGACCCTAAGATCAGGCCACCACTACGTCATACATTGGGTTGTTTATGAATACGATAATCGGAGCGTTGTTAAAACAAACACAGCACGATGTAATTTTAATTAATGTTTTTTTGCTATATAAGCAATTTTCTGAATGCAATGAATGTCTTTTTCTGTACTTTCATCTAACTTGTACGTGAGTGTCAATAAATACAGTTACTAGTGGTCTGCAGTAATTTAATTGCTAAATATAGCGGCCCAGGATCCTACTCCTACGCTCTTACAGTAAGAAACGAAACTCTCATGTGCTTGACATAAATGTAACTTATGAAGACCATAAGTTTTCTCTAGGGAAAGAACTGACCACCTGGTGATTTCTCATATTAAACATTAAATTATAATCTTTTAGTCAATGTTCAATAATACAAAGGATATGTATGTTGTTGCCATAGAATACGTACTAATACATACGTAATAGAACGGGGGAGTGGGCGGAGCCCGTGTAGCCACTAACATATCAGTTTCAGTTTTGTCAATTCACACGTATAAATGTCAACACAAACAGTCGTTTCCAATTTTCGTGTCAAGCGTCGCTGTATGCAAATTATTTAAAAAATGGCAAATTGTGCAGTAATTACGTGTCGAAAGAACAGCGGGAAATGGAATTTAAATAAAGGAGACATATTCTACAACCGGTAAGTCGAAACTATATATATTTTGAAATATTAGAAACAAAAATAAAGAAACATTTGTGTCAAAAACATTAATCAAAAGTCTAAAATGTGTGTAATTGCTTGTATGTGTGCTCACGGCGACGTTAATCCTCCTACAAAGTAAGGTCGACAGCCATTCTATTGTGTATTATAGTATTCTATGGTTGTTGCTATTTAATAACAATTCTTTGCCCATTACGCCTAGTACGAGTATACTTTGATACAACAGGTGTAAACAATTCTTATTACTTATGTGGGCTGCATTCTAAATTAATTACTCTTAATATTATTGCTAGAGATTGTCTCTATTGCCGCATTCACTAATATGAATTAATTGCAACTGATTCCAAATTAAATGTCAAATATTTACGAGTATGCTGCTCAATAGAAGCAGTTTTGGTAGCCAAAAACTTGGCTGAATAGTTTTTTAAGAAGTCATAACACGTAATAACTTCCAAGTGTATAGCCACGTAAGTAAAATAACAAGCGTTCTAATTAGATCACATCACAGAGATGCTCGAGTGATTTTCTTCAAGTGAAGTCGTCGGACCAACACCTCGACGCCACAACACTAAGATGCTTATACGTATGATGAGTTTATACCTTTTCTAATAATATTGACTCGACCTCTCGACTACCGGAGATGGCACACTGGTAGGGTTATTACCTATAAAATCCAAGCTTGCTTCGTCGCAGGCGATAGTGAAACGTCAGCTTTGTACTAAGTGCCTAAAACGCCTCTTAGGAAAATAAGACGTTTTGGGATGCCCCTTTTTTTATTATGTGCGAGCAGCTATGCAGGTCTAGGTAAAGAGGATGGACGATTGAGATTCCCCTTTGTTTGATACGTATGAATCATGAGACGTCAATTTGTATGGTTTAGTTACATTTATTTCTATTACATTGCTATCATTATTAGGCGAACAAGTGTAAACAATTGATAAAATTTTACGGATTTTTATGCTAATTTTAACATTAAAAACATTAATTTGCTTTCGAATAATCCACTGGAATTAAACTTTAAACATCGTTTTGAACGAGTACTTTCAACCTACTCACAAGCATCCCTCTCAAACTGTGATAATTTCGTTTAATCAACGACCAGTCTCAACGGACTAGTGCGCGAGCACAGGTGCATTCTCTATTAACTCACTTTAACAGTTCTATGAGACGGTAATCCGATACGAGAGAGAGAGAAAAATTAGATGCAAGCCCAACGGCTTTACGTGCTTCATTGTGCCTTACACTGCCAACTTCCTGACTCCAGGATGCTATTGCGAAACTTAGCAAAGAGAAATTCGTAGCAAAAAAACATTAAACTTATTTTGGTCCGACCCGGGATTCGAACACGAGACCACATGATCAGCTGACGCGCTTACAACCATAGGACCAACGTTATAAACGTAACCAGATAGTAAAATATTAGCTCGCCGTTTTGTTAAGTGTTTTAGCAGAATAAATTTACCGGTTCATTTTAATAAAATCCGTGTCCTCCACGAAAAGCAAATTGTACCAATATCTATAATTCTAATTATTTTTACGTGGTTGCAGCACGATTGGGTCGGCTCGACCTCTCACAGAATACCAGCGTAAAATAGCAGCTTAATGGTGTTGTGTCTCGTATAGTGAGTGTAGAGAACCGGAGACCTTTTTTTGACTGGAAACGAGGCATTCCATCTCAGTCCTCAGGGCTGGCAACTCATCCGCATTTTGATTTTTAATAAATTTAAATACCACACTTTGATGTTAATCCTATACCTTTAAACGAGCAATTATTGTGTGTATATATATATATATATATATATATATATATATATATATATATATATATATAATCAGAATTTCAGAAACGGCTCCAACGATTTTCATAAAATTTTGTGTCCATGGACTTTCGGGGGCAATAAATCGATCTAGCTAGGATTTATTTTTAGAAAATGTCTTTTTGTCCGTGTTTTCAGGCAATGAAAAACTGCTACGATATAAGAAGGTAAATTTTGACAATGTGTTAATGATCGTAATAGCTCAAGTGGATATCGAGCGGTCGCGAAATCGTAATGCCTTGGTTCGCGTCCTGTCTACAGCCCGACTTTTTCCTTTTCTTTTCAAGTTCCCTTCTTTTGTAAGAAAATCTATTATTTCGAGACCTTTTTTTAGTATTTTTTTAAAAAAAATTAAAGAAAATTTTAATGAAACTAATTGTACTCACGATTTTTATTCAAATAACCAGTTCAGTTTTTTCTATTATGTCGATAAGACCAAAGAATTATATTCATGTTTCATCGGTATTCAATTTGTATCTAAATGTAATTTCAAAAAAAAAAACCGAGCAAAGCTCGGTCATCCAGGTACTTATTACATAATATTAATGTATTATATATAGATTTTTGCTTGTACATGAATATATTGTTTTATAATGTTTGTTATATAATATCTGTAAGCATGTTGTAGTAATAATTGTGTTCAGTTTTGTACTTATAAGAAATAGAGAGAAAAAAATATGAAAATACCACAAATATGTTAGAGTAAAATTAACACATTAGAAAGTTCATTTTACTGTGTTCGTACTTATACTTTCTTTTTAACTTCACTCGAAATAACAGACACAGTTAACCACTTATTTACAAAAACAAACCAGTAAGATGTACGAGTACTCGTACATACGCACTGTGTTGCGTAGAATGTGTACCTTCAAGTACTTTTAAAAGTTATTATCATGATACGTTGTCATCCACACAGATTTGGCGATATTTTATAGGACTTTTTATAGAGGAAGAACCTGTAAGTGTTGTGAGTAAGAAATGTAAATATTTACATATCTTTATAACATTTCTGTTGGTTCTGCAGACAAAAAATTAATTATTATATCAGTAAAATAGGAAGCGAGCGGACAATCTATCTAAAGTAGCTATACTGCAGCCAATACTGTAACTACTACAAAGGAATTCAAAATAAGTTGAAATTAAAAGCAATAAAAACCGTAAAATTAGTTTTATTTAAAAAAAAAAATTTAAGTGACTGTCACACAGGGGGGTAGGCAGAGGATACGGACTTTCATTTGATCCTGATAAACCTCTCTAGCTTCTTTCATATTCCAAATTATCTATGTATATTTGCTATTCGGTGAAGGGTACACTTAATTTCACTCATCTTCAATATGCCGCCAGTTTGATCCCTTGCCGATTCCGCTACCCCATTCTGCAGCATAAATTTGCTCTGTCATTCTTTTCCCATTTATTCTTTCTACGTGTCTAAACCACCAAAGCATGCCTTTCTTTATCCCTTCTTGCAAGCCACATTTTTCTCTTCATCACAGTTTCTCAAAATATTATTTATGGAAGGTTCACAAATTGAAATAATACTAGTTTTTACGGAATTTATCGCGTATATTTAACTTTTTAAATAGCCGACGTTTCGAACGCTTTACAGCACTCATGGTCACGGGCGGGACTGAGATGTTCAACGTCCAGATGTCATAGTTAACCGCGGTTACCATAGATTAAAATTTTTTTCCTATATAGGACAAACTAAAAGATTAATTAAAACCCGCGTTAAAGAACTGATGATGTGAATAATCTACGCTCCGGGAAGTCTGCAGTCTGTGAACACATGTAGGATCGCCCCCGTCACTACATCAGATTTAATAAACCACAAATCCTCGCAAAAGAACACCGATTCCTCCCCAGGATGATTCGCGAGGCTATTGAAATCAAAAAACATCCTAATTTCAATAGAGAAGATGGCTGGGTGCCACCATCTGCTTGGGAACCTATAATAAATAAAATTAAATCCCAACCCAAGCATACAACTGCAATACTTCAAGATACCATAAGTTCATACTGTGTAGATCGGAACAAAAGTTAAATTTTAATCTATGGTAACCGCGGTTAACTATGACATCTGGACGTTGAACATCTCAGTCCCGCCCGTGACCATGAGTGCTGTAAAGCGTTCGAAACGTCGGGTATTTAAAAAGTTAAATATACGCGATAAATTCCGTAAAAAGTAGTATTATTTCAATGTGTAGTGTTCGCGTAAATATAAGAAATCATTAAGATTCACAAACCTTAGGGGCGGCTGTCCATCTGTCACGAGCCTGAAGAGAGGTGAGTAGGGGTCAACTTGGAGTGACCTGACGAATTCGTCGAACTGTAACAAAAAAATTAAAATTATAAGCTAAGCTTCATTAACATTTTGCCGCGACGTACGTTTGGTTTAATTCTTAGGCACGTTGTTGACGTGCTGCTGACGAGCACATGGTAATTACCCTAATCGGTTCAGATGCGCACAGGACGAATATCAATTGCAATTATAAACCTGCGTCATATTGAAGACAATATATTGAATTATAGAATACTTTATTCTATAGCTATATATAAAACTAAAGTGTTGCCCGTTAGTCTAGCTAAAACTAAAAAACGACTCGATTTTGATGATATTTTATTGTGCCTTTGAATGGATCCCTAAATTGGATTAGATTTACATTATGACCCATTAGGTTGCGCTATTGTCGAGGTTCAAATGTAGGTGGCGCTATTACCTTATTAATTAATATATATGTATAATATACACACACAGTTCCTCTAATTAAATATTTGGAATATATTAGTATTTCAAGCCGTCACAGTGTATTTCCATTTGTTGTTTGTACATTAAAATCATTAAAGCAAAGTAAAGGCTTTGATTCAAGGGCAAACCAATCTCAAACATATTCTACGTTCAATCAAAATAATGCTTAATTGGTTTATCTTGAGCACTCAGGATGAAGTGCTATAAATAGCCTTTGACCTCTGCGCCGCCGCTGGGCAAGCGCGATGGGTTTTTTGACAGATTAGTCTTTGATTTGGTCAATTATTTTTATGTATCCATGATAAATCAATTTAAAAAACATTATAGACTATAAGATGGCATATTATTACATGGTAATCAACTGAGCTCGCAGTGACTCAAAGTGTATCTGTATTTGGCAAAACATATTATTAAAAGGCTGCTCAAGCACCGAAAATTTCGGATTATCTCAGCCGAAAAAAAATTACTAAACCGAATCAAATTAAACTGGCTTCCATGGCTTGATTAGATTATCATTCATGAAATACTAATTACCAAAGCGCGTATTTTGTTTCTTGGACTTTCAAGTTATAGACAATATATAAATATATATAATAATATTTAATATTGTGTATTTTTGATTGATAAGTCCAAACTATGTTTTTTTAATTACTTTTCTCCAACCTTTTGAATAATACACAGTGTAAGTTTAGAGACTAGGGAGTGTGCAGCGGAGCGGAGCGTTCGGGGTTTATCTCAAGCAGACGAGGTTATAATGTCCTGCTGGTCTTCTCCCGACAGAAAGAAGAGTTCTGAATCAATCTATTATATTAACTGCCCCTTTAAAAATTAATAATTTTCAAAAGTAGGAAGTTATAGATTTCGGTCCGATTTTGATGATGCGAGTTTTCATCAGATCTCCACGTTTTGAGATCCTAGGAAGCCGTTCCGACTATTCCCGGCTGGACGTCGTTTAGTCGTATTAAGAAAATATTTAAAATTCAAACAATTCACTTCAAAGTTCAGTCTAATTAATTTATTTAATTTAATATTAAAACTCAGCTTTTAATTAAAATGGAGGCCATACGTTAACTTTCCGAGGATTTGTTTGTCTGGAGATACTTATAATCTCGGGAGAATCCAGACGAATCCCGACCAACGGCAACGCGAGTCGTAGGCCCAATCTCTCTAGTCGTGTAGAATTGCCCTCCCATCGGACTCACTCTCATATATGTGATAGAAAGTGCACCTGTGCTTGCACACACACTCGTGCATTATAATCTTTTTTTTTTTAAAGAAGACGGCGCAAACGGCCATGCGTCTCACGGGATGGTAAGTGTTGACTGCCGCCCATGAACGACTGTCCTGCGTAGTTGACTAGTCTTCGTTAAGACTTTTTACACGCGGTAGAGCCACGCTGCTGCTATGTTATGGTTGTAGCATGAATGGGTCGGCTCGACCAGGAAAAGACCACGCTCTCACAGAATACCAACATTAAATAGCAAATTAACACTATAGAAATAGAAATAGAAATAGAAACTTTTTTATTCAATGTAGATTATAAAAATACTTATTGAAGGTCACTTTTTTAATTTACCACTGGTTCGCAAAAAAAACCTCTGTCCTGGGAAGAACCAGCAAGAAACCCAGCGGGACTATTTTTTTTCAAATAATAGCTTACAATCATGTTTACAATCAACAACACAAGACAAATTAGAAATAGCTTGGTAGCGATCACCCTTCCCAGGGGTTATTATCATCTATAAATTCCTTAATATTATAATAACCCTTTTTATACAAACTTAGTTTAATAACATTTTTGAACTTTGTGTATGCCAAATTTTGTATATTTTCTGGGATTTTGTTGTAAAAGCGTATACATCGCCCCAAGAATGAGTTACTGACTCGGTGGAGTCGAGTAACTGGTACTACCAGCTTGTGTCTGTTCCTAGTATTTACAGAATGAATATCACTTATTTTCGCAAAACTACTTTTATTTTTGTGTACGTACATTACATTTTCATAAATGTATTGAGAGGCCAGAGTTAATATATTAATTTCTTTAAATTTTTGTCTCAGTGACTCTTTTGGTTTTAAATTATATATTGCTCTAATGGCCCTCTTCTGTAAAATAAATATAATTTCAGTGTCAGTCGCGTGTCCCCATAGCAAAATACCATACGACATAAATCTATGAAAATAACTGAAGTAAACTATTCTAGCTGTTTCAACACTGGTAAGAGTTCTAATCTTTTTTACAGCATATGCTGCAGAACTAAGTCTGCTAGCTAGTTTTGATATATGGGGGAGCCATTGAAGCTTTGCGTCCAGTGTGATTCCAAGAAAAATGGTGGTATCAACAAGACTCAGTTCCTCCCCATTTAAAACACTGATGTGTTTCGTATAGTGTTGCCCAAAATCGGTCTTGGTCTTGCAGTCTTGGTCTTGTTCTTGCATTTTGGCAAGACCAAGAACAAGACCACCTAATTTTAGCAAGACCAAGACCAAGACTGACCGTGCAAGATTTGAGCAAGAGTAAGAGACTAAGCCTGTGAGACTCTTGCGTCTTGCAGTTAGGAATGAGTGTCGTTTCAGGGAGTATAGGAGTTCGGGTATACGCTTAGGGACTCTATTTAAAAATTTTGGAAAATTGGACTTATGCGCATTACGAACAATACCATAAACATACATAGCGGATGAAAATATGCATTAAAAGAAAAAACAGTGCATCCCTAGTTTTGACCATTGGCACTTTGATAGTGCGCGGCGTCTTGTTGTCGGCATCATCAAAGGTCGAATACTGACCTGTCAAAGAAATTTTGCAGCTATTCGGAAGTACAAGGTCAAGATACACGCGCCGGCGGCTTCTATTGATATCGCATTCAATCGTCGCCGCCGCGCCGCACGCACTACATTTGACACTGTTTGAATGCCGCCACAGAGTACATGTTCCAAAGAATAAAATAAGTTTCCAGGTGCTCAGAATGGACACGAATACATTATGCTGATCTCGCAAGGAATATTGTAATTAGATAATGGTAAGGATAGGTAGTTATCATGATAATTTATTCTAGTAAATAATTAATAATTATTATAATATGAACGATATGGGTTTATAATATTTACTTACTATTTATATTATTATTACCTAATAGATAAACATGTTCAATAAGTTCACTGCAAATATCGATTTTTGGAAGTGTGTGTTTTTGAACACAAAGTGTTCGAATATGTCGTCACCCATTTGATAAATATTGTAAACACTTCTAACACACTTGAAACGTGTAAACATTTTGTACAATGCTAATCGAATAATATAAATAGTGTGCATATTAAATAAAAAGCGTAAAATAAGATCTATGTACTTTTTAGGAGCCCGAGTATCTCTTAGAGAACCGTTTAAAGAAATTGACTGCATCGAATTGATGTAAATAATAGTGATTTGCACAATTTTAATAATAGAAATAAAAATAAAATCACAATACCTGCTTTCCGGTTACACAAAGTATATAATGCGTTCTTGGGTACCGATATACGCTTTTATAATAAGATTCCAAAAGAAATGTTAGATCTTTCACCTTTTCAATTTAAGTCAGACAAAAATGCTTGGAACTGACCTCTCGTACTACACAGGACTAACTAGAAATTTCTAAACCGATTTGGTATCTACATATACATTTGACATTTTATGTTTGACTTATCGCTTTACATAATTATAGAACTATTGTAAAAATATTTTGAAAAGAGCAACTACTGAGTTTCTTACTTTATGTTTATATAATCGGAATCTCGGAAACGGCTCCAACGATTTTCATAAAATTTTGTGTCCAGGGAGTTTTGGGGGCAATAAATCGATCTAGATAGGATTTATTTTAAAAAATGTCTTTTTGTCCGTGTTTTCAGGCAATGAAAAAACTGCTACAATATAAGAAGGTAAATTTTGACACTGTTATGACGATCGTAATAGCTCAAGTGGATAACGAGCGGTCGGTAAATCGTAGTGTCTTGGTTCGCGTCCTGTCTTCGATCCGATTTTTTTTCCTTTTTTTTTTCAAGTTCCTTTCTTTCGTGAGAAAATCAATTTTTTTTAATATTTTTAAAAATACGAAAATTTTAATTAAACTTTTTGCACTCATGATTTTTTATTCAAATCACCAGTTCAGTTTTTTCTATTATGTCAATAAGATCAAAAAATATCATCAGTAATTTGTATTTAAATGTAATAAAAAAATCATCCGGGTACTATATACAATAGATCTAGTTCGATCAACATTTTTTTATTTCTGAGCCATCATAGTAGTTAAAAAATAACATATTATATATAAATTAACATTACGTAAAGAAATATTGTAACTTTAGGTATAGTTTCGCAAATGATACATTTTTTAAATTATATAATTCAATTATATTCGATAAAATAATATTATCTAAAATAATTTATGTTCACTATCGATAAAAAATTCGAATTATCTTTAAACTAAGTAGGTTTTTGTTTTGCTCTGGTTCTCGGGACGTGAATTAATGGAGTTGCATTAATTTTGTTAAGTATTAAATGATACAAATAAATATGCAAAAGTTTTGGATAAAAAGCTGTAAAACCG